TACCCAGAATTCCGTGCAAGAAGGGATCTCTCATTACCATAACAATTCAATCCAATAAAACTGTGTCATTTTTTGGCTCGCCAGTTTCTTTGAAGTGTACGAGTGTTTTGGCGTGCCTTCGGCTTTCAAAGTGCTTTCAAAGAGCGCGTTTCTTCCTTTGCCTTCTTCGCTCGATCACTCGAATGATCTGATGTCACAGAAGTAGAGTTGACATCACAAACTGTTCATCGCACGCGCTGAAGGGAAGATCAGCTTGGAGTTATCACCTCTAGCTCACCGATTTCTCGGCAATGGTGCTGTTTTTTTTCCCTGTTTTGTATTGTTTCCTCACTCGCCCACGGGACTCGATTTGAAATGGTGTAAGGTGGGAAACTGTGCAACAGGATAAGGCAAAAGAAAAGACAAGAAGAAGAAGAAGAAGAAGAAGAAGAAGAAGAAGAAGAAGAAGAACAAGAAGAAGAAGAAGAAGAAGAAGAAGAAGAAGAAGAAGAAGAAGAAGAAGAAGAAGAAGAAGAAGAAGAAGAAGAAGAAGAACAAGAAGAAGAAGAACAAGAAGAAGGACAAGAAGAAGAACAAGAAGAACAAGAAGAAGAACAAGAAGAAGAACAAGAAGAAGAACAAAAAAAGAAGAAGAACAAGAACAAGAACAAGGGCAGCGGCAGCAGCAGCAGCAGCAAAAAAAAAGAAAACCCAGGAACCGAAACGCGGAGCTTGACTCGCACAGATAAAAAGCAATAAAATCGTAGGCCTACGACACGGGGTATTCCCAGGTGGTCACCCAGCCAAGTACTAATCCCGCCCGACAAGGTTTAACTTCGGTGTTCGGACGAGAACCGGTGCTTTCCTTGTGATATGGTCGTAGGCAAGGATACGGGGTCCAAATTGAGCCATTTAGCCTGCTTAGAGCAAATAGAAGGCTGTAAAACATTTCGGCCCAGCTTTGCAAACCGTGAAGTCTCCCGCAGGTTAGGATCTCTATTTAAATGAGTTTCTGCCGAAAAAGAAACGACTTAAACAAAGTTTGGTACTAAATTCTTTCCTGTGTGGAGACTTAAAAAAAAAATTTCAATTGAGAGACCCACTACTTTCCCGCACAATTTCACCTAAACTTACCCAGAATTCCGTGCAAGAAGGGATCTCTCATTACCATAACAATTCAATCCAATAAAACTGTGTCATTTTTTGGCTCGCCAGTTTCTTTGAAGTGTACGAGTGTTTTGGCGTGCCTTCGGCTTTCAAAGTGCTTTCAAAAGAGCGCGTTTCTTCCTTTGCCTTCTTCGCTCGATCACTCGAATGATCTGATGTCACAGAAGTAGAGTTGACATCACAAACTGTTCATCGCACGCGCTGAAGGGAAGATCAGCTTGGAGTTATCACCTCTAGCTCACCGATTTCTCGGCAATGGTGCTGTTTTTTCCCCTCTGTTTGTATTGTTTCCTCACTCGCCCACGGGACTCGATTTGAAATGGTGTAAGGTGGGAAACTGTGCAACAGGATAAGGCAAAAAAAAGAAAGAAGAAGAAGAAGAAGAAGAAGAAGAAGAAGAAGAAGAAGAAGAAGAAGAAGAAGAAGAAGAAAGAAGAAGAAGAAGAAGAAGAAGAAGAAGAAGAACAAGAAGAAGAAGAACAAGAAGAAGAAGAAGAACAAGAAGAAGAAGAACAAGAAGAAGGACAAGAAGAAGAACAAGAAGAACAAGAAGAAGAACAAGAAGAAGAACAAGAAGAAGAACAAAAAGAAGAAGAACAAGAACAAGAACAAGGGCAGCGGCAGCAGCAGCAGCAAGAAAAGAAAACCCAGGAACCGAAACGCGGAGCTTGACTCGCACAGATAAAAAGCAATAAAATCGTAGGCCTACGACACGGGGTATTCCCAGGTGGTCACCCAGCCAAGTACTAATCCCGCCCGACAAGGTTTAACTTCGGTGTTCGGACGAGAACCGGTGCTTTCCTTGTGATATGGTCGTAGGCAAGGATACGGGGTCCAAATTGAGCCATTTAGCCTGCTTAGAGCAAATAGAAGGCTGTAAAACATTTCGGCCCAGCTTTGCAAACCGTGAAGTCTCCCGCAGGTTAGGATCTCTGGCTAAATGAGTTTCTGCCGAAAAAGAAACGACTTAAACAAAGTTTGGTACTAAATTCTTTCCTGTGTGGAGACTTAAAAAAAAAAATTTCAATTGAGACCCCACTACTTTCCCGCACAATTTCACCTAAACTTACCCAGAATTCCGTGCAAGAAGGGATCTCTCATTACCATAACAATTCAATCCAATAAAACTGTGTCATTTTTGGCTCGCCAGTTTCTTTGAAGTGTACGAGTGTTTTGGCGTGCCTTCGGCTTTCAAAGTGCTTTCAAAAGAGCGCGTTTCTTCCTTTGCCTTCTTCGCTCGATCACTCGAATGATCTGATGTCACAGAAGTAGAGTTGACATCACAAACTGTTCATCGCACGCGCTGAAGGGAAGATCAGCTTGGAGTTATCACCTCTAGCTCACCGATTTCTCGGCAATGGTGCTGTTTTTTCCCCTCTGTTTGTATTGTTTCCTCACTCGCCCACGGGACTCGATTTGAAATGGTGTAAGGTGGGAAACTGTGCAACAGGATAAGGCAAAAAGAAAAGACAAGAAGAAGAAGAAGAAGAAGAAGAAGAAGAACAAGAAGAAGAACAAGAAGAAGAAGAAGAAGAAGAAGAAGAAGAAGAAGAAGAAGAAGAAGAAGAAGAAGAAGAAGAAGAAGAAGAAGAAGAAGAAGAAGAAGAAGAAGAAGAAGAAGAAGAAGAAGAAGAAGAAGAACAAGAAGAAGAAGAAGAAGAAGAAGAAGAAGAACAAGAAGAAGGACAAGAAGAAGAACAAGAAGAACAAGAAGAAGAACAAGAACAAGAACAAGGGCAGCGGCAGCAGCAGCAGCAAGAAAAGAAAACCCAGGAACCGAAACGCGGAGCTTGACTCGCACAGATAAAAAGCAATAAAATCGTAGGCCTACGACACGGGGTATTCCCAGGTGGTCACCCAGCCAAGTACTAATCCCGCCCGACAAGGTTTAACTTCGGTGTTCGGACGAGAACCGGTGCTTTCCTTGTGATATGGTCGTAGGCAAGGATACGGGGTCCAAATTGAGCCATTTAGCCTGCTTAGAGCAAATAGAAGGCTGTAAAACATTTCGGCCCAGCTTTGCAAACCGTGAAGTCTCCCGCAGGTTAGGATCTCTATTTAAATGAGTTTCTGCCGAAAAAGAAACGACTTAAACAAAGTTTGGTACTAAATTCTTTCCTGTGTGGAGACTTAAAAAAAAAAATTTCAATTGAGAGACCCACTACTTTCCCGCACAATTTCACCTAAACTTACCCAGAATTCCGTGCAAGAAGGGATCTCTCATTACCATAACAATTCAATCCAATAAAACTGTGTCATTTTTTGGCTCGCCAGTTTCTTTGAAGTGTACGAGTGTTTTGGCGTGCCTTCGGCTTTCAAAGTGCTTTCAAAAGAGCGCGTTTCTTCCTTTGCCTTCTTCGCTCGATCACTCGAATGATCTGATGTCACAGAAGTAGAGTTGACATCACAAACTGTTCATCGCACGCGCTGAAGGGAAGATCAGCTTGGAGTTATCACCTCTAGCTCACCGATTTCTCGGCAATGGTGCTGTTTTTTCCCCTCTGTTTGTATTGTTTCCTCACTCGCCCACGGGACTCGATTTGAAATGGTGTAAGGTGGGAAACTGTGCAACAGGATAAGGCAGAAGAAAAGAATACAAGAAGAAGAAGAACAACAACAACAACAGCAACAACAACAAGAACAAGAAAAAGAACGAGAACAAGAAGAACAAGAAGAAGAATAGGAATAAGAAGAAGAAGAACAAGAAGAAGAACAAGAACGACAAGAAGAACAGGAAGAACAAAAAGAAGAAGAAGAAGAAGAAGAAGAAGAAGATGAACAGCGGCAGCAGCAATAGGAAGAAAAGAAAACCCAGGAACAGAAACGCGGAGCTTGACTCGCACAGATAAAAAGCAATAAAATCGTAAGCTTACGACATGGGGTATTCCCAGGTGGTCACCCATTCAAGTACTAATCCCGCCCAACTTCGGTGTTCAAACGGGAAGGGGTTTTTTTTTTTTTTTTTTCTTTTTCAAGAAGGCTCGGAGAGCTGTTTATTTACAATGAAGAAGATTTTTGGATATCCTTTTTTACATTGCTAATATTGGTATTACTGCGTTATTCCTACTTATTTACATATTGGTTAGTTTTTAGAAGGTGAAAATGAGTGTATTGTGTTCCACTTTTGCAAATGCTTCGCCGATGCACCATGTGTCGGGAAACTGGTGCTGAGTTTGTCTGAGCTTGGTATTGGTATTGGATTGGATGGTATCGTGATCTTACATGGGACTCGATACTGGCAGCGAAATTCGCCTCTGGAAGTATCGTTGTGGTATGGACTCTATGAGATACCGCTGATTTGAAAATTGCAGATCTAGCTATTTTGAATGTCCAGTTTACAAGGTCTGTCCTTGGAGTAGTTAGGGGGTCGTTCCTATGGGGCAGTTTTCCAAGGATCTTTACATCATCCGTTAGTGGAAGCATTGAGTCTGTTATTTTGTTTATGAAGAGTTGTACTTGTCCCCAAAAGGTATCGAGTAGTGGCCACTTGACCACTGCATGTTCTATCTGTCCCGTGCTCCACACCTGTGGTATAGGGGGGATTCGGACACGCCCATTCTGTACAGTGAGAGGGCTGTGGGTAGTACTCTGTGGACTATTTTCCAATTTATGTCTCCTTGCTTTTTGATGATTAGAGGGGAGTAGAGTGTCTTCCATTGTCTACCGTTGAAGGGCAGTTCGGGCTGTAGGTTGCTTTTCCAATAGGCCACCGCTGGGATAACAGGTTTTTGCTTGTTGTGTAAGTGTCTGTAGAAGTGCCGTGTTGGGCGGGATTGGATGTCTTGAAAAAGTCTAGAGGGGTCTGGATCCGGGATGGCAAAACCTGGTTGAAGAGATGGCTGGGTACAGGCTGTTCAGTTGGATATTTTTCGTTTCCAGTTACAAGGGATGGCGTTTAAAAGCTTTCTATGTTCTCTAGTTGTTCTGAGGAGAGTGCGTCCTTCTGTATCAGCTAATATTTCGTATATTGCCAGGGTCGGAAGAAAACCGGGGCCTACCTCATAGGATATGTCTGCTACACGGATGATTCCGGCTTTTACCCAGTCTGCCAGGCATATGGGTCTGTTTTCTGTTTGGATCAGCTATCAGTTTAGGTGGAGAGGTTACTTAAGGACATCAGTAAAAGACTCGGGTAGATTTGTGCGGGTCGTATAGGAGCGTACTTGTGCCATGCTGACAGAAGCTCTTTATGGAAAGCAGGGATATTCCAGTCTATTTGATCCGTTTTGTAGTCCATTGCCAGTGCTAATTTACCTGGTCGAATGTTGGATATAGAGAAGAAGTGTGCAGTGAAGCTTTTCCAGTGTGCTTGTTCGCCAGATAGTAACCTCTTTATCGTGTTTATGCGAAGAGCTTGGATCTTTGTTTCAAGGCGAGGGATATTGAAACCACCTTCTTTGAGAGGGAGAGCTAGTGTGTCCCTGTTTACCAGGGGCCGTTTGCTGTCCCAAAAAATGGGTAGATGGCTTGTTCGGTCTCTTTTATGACCCAGGAGGGTACTGGTAGTAAGGTGACATTGTACCATAGGGATGAGGTCATGAGGGTATTGATGAGGAGTGCCCTGCCTTTGAAACTCAGGTCTCTGTGTTCCCAGGACGCAACGATCTCCTTGATCCTCTGTATCTTTGAGCTCTAGTTCAACTGGGTGCAATCTACGTTTCCAAAATACTGTCCTAGGATCTTTTCGGGTATGTAATCGTTGAAGCAGGAGAACCCCTGTACTTGGTCAGTCCTGTGGGCGAAAGCCCCACACCATAGACCCTTACATTTGTCCTTGTCGAGGTTAGCGCCCAACGCTTGTTCGTAGTGATGGAAAACTTGGAAAACCTCCTTGATAGAGTTGGTACGTATCATCGTATATAGAATGGAATCGGGAAAATTTTGCACGTACTGAAAATTAAAAATAAAAAAATTACGATCAGAGTCAGAAGTAAATAGGCAGATTTAATGGAGTCACACATTCACAACAATAATCGACCTGTTCTTCAATCAGCGAAGCAACCAGCAACCCACTATTGCAAATAGGACACCAAATCACTTCATCAATATCTTCATCCTCAAAAAATAAAAAATTTACATTCCTAGAGTGAGGTGATATTCATACATTCTAGGTGACACTTGAACGAATGATACTTGAAGATCAGAAGAAACACCTAATCCACCTACTTGAGTGATTCGGTCTTCAATTCGGCAGCATCTTTAAAAAAAGACAAATTGTTATCAAGGTCACAGACACAGACACAGATCAAATATATGCTTACTCTATAGCATGAGAGCATGTCAGTATTGTTCTCTCTTGTCTTCTTGTTCACTCGGTAATACTATGATCATCAATGACAACGAGTATGCAGTCTTACTTCATTTTATAATATAGAGTGACGTCATGAATTACATACCCATACTCTCCTCCCCCCATCTATATGGTGTGACAGATGTCTGTTGGGGTTAACATGTAAGATGACATCTGTCAATTAGGGTAAATATGATTTTTTTGACAGATGTCTGTTGGGGTTAACACGTAAGATGACATCTCCTGTCAATTAGGGTAAATTTGATTTGACAGGAGAATTTTATCATAGGAGTTGTCTTGCTGAGTGTTTTTATTGGTAAGTCAAGTCAAGATGAGTAGTCAAGAAAGAGTTAAGAAAGAAGCAGAAGCAGCAAGAGCCAATTTGTGGGGAAAAGTGGTCACTAAAGAAGACCCTGAAAGGTATGAAATATCAAGAAAGAAAAGATCGAAATATATGAAAATATTTTTCAAGGATTGAAGAAGCGAGAAAGGCACAGAACATGTCTTTTATCGAGCGTTACACAAAATATATGACCCTGAAAGAGGACGAGATAAAGCCAAAGCCACTGAATTAATGAACGCTTATCACAAATTGTAAAAAAATGGAGAAATTTCAAGCGTATCTTTCACCGGAATACCAATTAAAAGTTATGGCTATGTCCTTACCGTACATGGTCATGTATCAAGGTCCTCCAGCACCCCTCATCATACGTCTCTCGCAATTTGAAGATCATTATCATGGATGTAGGTCATATATGGGGTTCCTGGAAAGGTCGTATTTTTGTGATGAGTGTAACTGTGGATATAACAATGAAGATTTTCGACATCTTTACTTCCTAGTAAAGTTAACATGGATGTGGAACTGGATGGGGTCGCATTTTCTCGACTGGATTGAATGGGGTCTCACATTTGTCGGGATTTTGGAATGAGAAAATTCAGGTAAAAGAGGATTTAAAAATGGGAAGATCTGCGTTTAAAGGATTGTTACCATCTTATCAAAATGACTGGACAGGTAAGGGTTCTGAAAGGCCAGCAGGACACACCCAGCAAAAATAGACCCAAGTACCCTCTTCCCCCCCCCCCAACAGGGACCAACTCTCATGCCTGCAGCTCAAGTTTGGCCACGATCGGTGGGGGGTAGAGGAATCTTTTTCTTCAACATATTGAGAGTAAATTGGCTTACGACATTGATTTGATCTTTGTTAGCGTGAAGTAATTTTTTTTTCATACAACAATGTCAATTGGATTCTTGTAGAATTGATTTTAAAAAATCTACATTTCTCTTGATGTTGTTCATCATCGCCGTTGCGCTGTCTTGAGGAGGGTGTTGATAATGTGTTTTCCGTTTTGCTCTTGTGCTTTCTTAATGTTGGCAATTTGTTTGGCAGTGAGTCCTTTTTTCTTCTTACTTTTCTTGGTGACAGCCTCTAGACCTTTTTTAACACCATACAAAGCAGCTCCTCCTACAGCACCTGCCGCAATAGCTTTACCTCCGGCAACGAGCTGGAATGAGTGCCGCTAAAGGTAGGATACTTCCTTTTTGTGTTCTATCTGTTCTTCTTCTTCTTCTTCTTCTTCTTCTTCTTCTTCTTCTTCCCTTGCGTTTTGGTGTGCTTTTTCTTCGACCCATCTCTTCTTATCAGTTATGAGTACTTGTAGAATGGCATGTGACAATAGGATGTCCGTTGTCTTTATAGGTAGTGGTGATGGTATTGGTCTTGGTGATACTGGCAATACGTTGACCCGCGGTGGCATTTTGTTGATCATTTAATAGTAACCGTAATTGTCTATGCATATCGTTGAATGTTGTTGTTGTTGTTGTTGTCGTCCTCTTTGCCACCGGAGGGTGGAAGATTTGGTACAACAGGTGTCGCTGTAGGTGCCGTGCTATAGGGTGATGTTCTTCTAAAAGTGTTCGTTGTAAATGAAGTGTTTAAACCCGATGGACCTGCTTCAATGGTTGTGGATGGTAGAGACGTGATGGGAGTGGGTGAGGAACCTACACTGACACCTAGTGGAGCGGTAGATCCCCACACGTTCTCCAATGCATTATTAGGGGAGAACCTGTTTGCATCATCGTCCTCAAGGTCATTTTCCTGCATGAAATAATCATCAAAACCGTAATTCGAAATGCTGATACGGCTGTCATCGTCCATGATTGTCCTATCTGTGAATGCAACCTTTGTGTCACAACAAGTGACTCACAAGTCTCGTATTATCGTGACTTGCAGGATGTACATCAATGGCCAAATAACCAAAAGGTCTCTGGGCGCATTGATTATATGTTTCCATGATGGGACACCATCTTTTGTTGGGATAAATCTGTGTCAATAAGGTGCACATGGTCACATTGTCTCGGGGATTTTTGAAGACCACAATGTATTGGGCATTTCTCAAAATGGTCTTGGCATATTTTCCTTTAGGAAACATGTGACGTTAAGATGGTGGGAATAGTGAGTGAACAGATTCAAGATGGTCTCCCCCTTCTGGCATGAGCTCATCCATGACGAGGATTCCCCCTTGTTGATCGCCGAACCATTCTTTCAAGTGATCGTGGGTGGGTACACCTTTAAAAAATTCAATGCTGTGTTTCTGCATGGAATCTAATTTATCTTGCCATGACCCATGACAATAACGGATGCGTGGGGGTCGCGTTTCAAAAAGGTCTAAGTTTTCTAGTAACAAACGTTTGATAAATGGTCTTTCCACAACTCGTGGGTCCTACAACCAAGATGCTTGAGGGAGATTTGAAAGAGAACCCTTTTTCCCAACACAGTGACATGATGAAGACACAGAAAGTGACACAAGGGTATCTCATTCACTTAATTTTATTTGTGCTTTGATGATCTCTTCTAAGAGATCTCCTACTTTATCATAGTTTCCTACATGATCACACTCTGAAAACATAGTTAGAAAGTCGTCCATACTCTTGCCTCTCACTTTAAGTGACAGATAAACAAGGGCATAATCCCCGCAACTTTTCATCTTCACCAATTGTAATGATTTGGTGTTTTTGCCTTCATAGGACCATTGGTTCAACCACACTAAGAAGGGAGTAATAAACTCGTAGGTGGACAAAGGTAAGGCTTAACTGTCTAAGAGTTCGCAGGTATCGTTTTCGATCCACATGCCAATCCAATGTTGACCAAGTTTGTCTGCAGGATCTGTATTGACCACGTAAGCTCTGGGTTTGAAACGTTCGGGAGTTTCAGGCAATTCGTCACAGACGAGGGCTCTCACAAAATAATTACTGAGTTGAGTGTCACTATCTGCTATTGCATTGAGTTGATCCCTCGTGAGCCACACGTATTCCATGTTTCCTTGTTCACTTCACACTCATTATTTAGCACACATCTACCATGGTGGCTCCTTTAATGCCATCGACTTCCATCAAACCTTCGTACTCGGCATAGATGATGATGGTTTTCTGACTCCCTTGCACTGCAAATTTCAAGTGGATGTTAATCAAGGCTTCGTTTCTAGGGAGAAGGATGGGATCATCGTGTCTTTCATTGGCCATCTTTGAAAACGCAAACAAGGTACAGTTCTTTCCATGACCCCAGATTCTGAATCTCACCATGTTTCCTTCACTTCTGAACAGACAACCTGTAGCATCCAGAAAACGGTGATACCCTACCATGTCTTTCTGACCATTTCCAGTGTTGAGTTCCATCATTTCGTAAGGGTATTCTTCTCCATTCACAATCTGTTTGATGTATTCAATGTCAACTTTCTGGAAAGCAAACGGATCTTTGTCATATTCTCCATTGAAGGCTGTGGTCTCTAGGATTCCTAGGATGACTCTCTGTGGTACTTTTCCGTTGAAAGGGTTGTTGATCTCTTTGGAGGTGGCTCCATTGTCCAGGGGAAATTGTCTCATATCTGTTTGGAGAGTTCCATGTAGACGGAGGGATTGAGTCTCACCAGACAGAGATAGAGGGTGAGTTTGATGTCGTCAGTGTTAATCCTGACTTGTTCAGTGGCGGGATTGGCTTCGTTGAAAATGACAGCTGCGTAAATAGAATTCCAGTTCCAAGAGCGTTCTGGGAACAATCCATTTCCCTTGGTGAAACGCGTCTACAAACGGTTTCATCTTCAAGGTTCTCCTCTTCCCTCCAGAATAGAAATCTCTCACATCCACTTTCTGAACTTTGATGCTGGATTGCTGATTGTCTGTTAGGGCAGCAAAATCAGCTTCGTCTGTCTTGACAGTATTGGCTGTTTATGTCACGGGTGAATTGATTTCATTCCTCCAGCCTGTGGGTTGAAGAATGGTCTCTCCATCATCTCTGCCATAGTTCAACAGAGTCTGTAGGCAGGCTTTGAGATGGTACATGTCCACTGATTTGATTTGTTTGAAGAGTGTGTGCGTAAGGTTGTCGGCTGGAGCTGCCATGCGATTCACATCATCATTGCATGAAGTGAGATTGGCATTTCCACTTGTTGTCTTGAATCCCAAGTCAAGTTCCACAAAACTCCTCTCCAGATCAATGTAATTGGATTGTCTTTCTATGTAAATGTGAATTGGAGTGATGGTCGACGTCTAGGGTGGTACTTTGATGTACTTCTAACTGGCTGTGGTAAGATTCGTGGGCAGAATAGTGAACAAGTTGAGATTAGGATTGAGCGCTGCTGTTTTTGGGGCCATCTTGAATGATAGATGTGATTGCTTTAACGTCTCCTTTGTTTATGTGTGCATCTGCGGGTAGAACAGTTCTTAAATGGTCTCTTCTTGAGAAACCCTCCGCCTTGCTGACGATGATACCCTTTTCTTCCTTTATACTTTTTCAAAATAGGATCATTGGGAAACCCTGTACCCACCCCAATGATGGGGGCACTACTACGTACTCTGCTTATGCGAGTCATTTTTAGGGTCCAAAGATATTGTTTAACTTTTTCCTGATTTTTCCTTTCACTTCGTTCTTGAGTGCTGCTGTGGCACCTCTCTTCACTCCATGTCTCATTTCTGAGAGGGATTGCTTCTTCAACTCACTTTTAAAATCCTTTTTTTCACTTCCTTAAAAAAGTCTTGTCTCATTTCTTTCATACCACCTACTATTTGTGGTGGTATATTGCCTGGCACACCTGATCCCAAGAATAGGGGTGGTGCACTCCTACGAAAACTAGCACCCCTGAATTGATTTCCACCTGAAGAAGGGGTATACACTTTGAAACGTCTTAAACTTCCTCCTCTCATGGTGTGTCAAGTACGAGTACACACATCACTTTATGTCTTTTTTACAGATTCAACTGTGATATTTAGCTGGATACCCTTTCCACTTGACGTACAATTTATCTTTTAATCGTTTCAAGACTTTCTCCGCTCTTAAATACGATGCTTCATCCAAGTGTACTTTTTGTAAAGCCCACGCATAAAACGTACCCTGCAAAGGTGTATCATCAAGTTCTTGCACTTTATAGGTGACAGTGGCCATACCAGGTACCACTTTACGTACCACAAACACTTCTTCTGTCCATCCAGGTAAGTATCCTTTTTTGAACGGTCTGAATTTTTTATTCAATCGCACTTTATCCCCCACTTTAAAAGCTGGTGATTTTTTCTTCTTCTTTTTGGTATACTTGCCATACAAATTGTACCAGATATCTTTGGTGTTGAAAGATGTGACTTTGGCTGGAGACATTCGAATACTTTTATGATAGGTATGATTGTATTGATTCACGAGTTTGGGTAAGACATCCACATACTTCAAAATGTTAGCTGCTGTAAGATATTTGTACAATTTTGATTTGAGGGTTCTATTGAATCGTTCCACAATAATGGCTTTGGCACCCCCATGTGCAGAAAAATGATAAATGTTCTGTCGTTTCATCAGATTCGGAAAGACTTCATTGTAAAATTCTTTTCCTGCATCGGTCTGCAAGTTTTGAGGTTTATGTCCATTTGCAGATTTGAGGATCTTAGCAAACGCCTCAGTGACATCTTTGCCTGTCTTCTTTTTAATAGGTTGAGCCCATGCGTATTTGGAAAACTCGTCAATGATCACCAGAATGTATCTGAATCCCTTATTCTGTTTGGCAATCGATTGCACTTCCACCAAATCAGACACCATTGTTGATATATGTCAAACACCACCACCGGTTGAAACACATCTTTTTGACAACGCTGTTAATGAAGCTATAGGCAAGATTCTTCTCTAACTCTTTTTGGGCTTTGGAATGTGAAATACCTTGGGCTTTGGCATATTCAGACATACTTCCTAAACTGCCGACAATAGCTAGTGTGTTGTAATCAAGTATCTCCTTTTTTGTCAAATCAGTCTTTTTGATCTTATTCTTTTCAGCCGTAAAAATTTCAACCAATGAGTCACACAGTAGTAACCCATCCAAAACTCTCCCAAATACTGTTGATACAATCGATTCCACACGTTATATATGTAATTCCCCTCATAATATCTCATAAAGGTCATCAGATGATGAATACGACTATGAGGAGGGTACAAATTAAAAAATTTACAAATCATTTAAAAATAAAATCGTAAAAAATGCTTCTGCTTTTTAGGATGTTCTTTGGCTAATTCCTGGGCTAGTAAGTACAGTTCTTCATCTGTGGGTACACCTTCCTTAAATCTACGTCCTGAAGAAGTGAATTATACCATTTTACTTGAAATCAATATAGAGGTTAAAAAATCTGTAGGTTCTCCTCGTTCTAACGCATCAAGTTTATGAGGTTTAAATCCCATAAGGTCTTGTGCATAATGTTGCCATTTGCCATCAGAAAAACTTTCTACCCATGCATCTACTTCCACATTCTCTTCTAATAGAATATAAAACATCAATCAAATTAGATTTCAGACATATGCCACAATAATTAACGTCCGGTTGAATCAAAGGAGTTTACATCCATCCACAATTACAATAAGGGCAACGGAAGATGACGTCATCTATCTACAACAAAAAATTGTCATTCCATGTCAGGACACAGAATTTGCTTTGTTTTCTTGGAGGGTTTGAAACGCCACCCTTGGAACAAATCGCAATTCCTCTGAGGACATCTCAAATACATCTTTCCATAACTCTTGCCTGACTTGGACATGGAAAACGTGGGAGTTAGTCCACATTCACACACCGTACATCTGATGGTATCTAAGGTGAACCACGGGTGCCCCTGCTGATGACATCCATAATAGTAATTGTAATCTTTGATATCGCTAAAGATGGAGCAGGATTCCTCTCAGCAGTGCAAGAATGTGTCATGCCAATCTTTTTTCTTAAATTTGAATTCTTCCATCTGGGTATAGTGTATGGGACACGAATAACTGACTTCCACATTGTACGACAACTTGTCAAAAGACGCATGGGGATAATCACCTGTTCCTTCTGCGTTGACCTCTCCTTCTTCTAACACCACTAACTCCTTCTTCTCACCACTACACTGACCCACTTTGTTCACCAGCGACTTTAATTCTTCCAAAGGTGGGGCAGGTTTCTCGGGTTTCCTGAAATGTTCACTTGTCACCACAACCTTCTCATCTTCTTGGGGAGGCAACGCATCCACAAAAACGGTACCTTTCAATTTGTCTTTGGCTGCTTGTTTTGCTGCTGCTTTCTCACTCTCAAATAGATGAGCTCTTGAACTCGTTGTCTTAGAACTCTTCTTCTCTACATCTTCCATTTTTTCTTCTTCTTCTTCTCAAGATCTGTGTGAATGAAAAACAGGGATTGAGGACACCGTCTCTTATAGCGAACAAATGGGCAGAGTCATATCCCTTATTTAGAAATCATCTGACATAATCTCCTGTCAAAATGTTTACCTCGACAGACAGCTGTCATCTCTCTCCCACAGAGATGGTTCTATCCACACAAGGACAAAAGGACAAAAAACTTTCCCGCTCAAATTCTGTTTGGGTTCTATTATCGCAACGCTGGAGGAAAACCTATTTTTATGCACGTGACACTAGGTATTGTGTGACAAAAACTCGGGATTATAGGATTAAAAACCATATCGGGGCGAATATTTGACAACTGTCAATGCTTCCAGTTGTCCGATCAAATCAGTAACATCTTTCATTGGATTCTTCCAATTGTCATACACATGGATGACCTCTTCAAAATCATGCCCACATGCACGTATCTTTTTCCTCTCTCAATGAAATGAAACCAATGGGTAAACAAATACAGCTGCATGTGAGCACCCACAGGTGTTGGATACCGACGGATGTCTTTACATGTAAACAGTCAGTGGTCCCATGTTTTTCTCCTGTTTCCTTTGAGAATAATATACCATTTAGGCAAATGTTTGATCACTGTCAACGCTTCCAGTTGTCTGATCAAATCAGTGATATCTATCAGATTCATCCAATTGAGATAAGCACTGATGACATCTTCAAAATTATGTGCCATGCACTTGTATCTTTTTTCCTATCTCGATAAAGTGAAACCAATGGGTAAACAAATAACTGATGGATGTCTCTGCATGTAAACAGTTAGTGGTCAAATGTTTGTCTCCTGTTTCTTTTGAGAATATTATACCATCGGGGTGAATATTTGATGACTGTCAACACTTCCAGTTGTCTGATCAAATCAGTGACATCTCTCACTAGATTCATCCAATTGAGAGAACTGGTGACATCTTCAAAAATCGTGCCCATGCACTCGGATCTTTTTTCCTATCTCAATAGAGTTAAACACGTGTGTAAACAGATACAGTTACATGTTTACATTTTGGACACCACATAATTGAAAACACAGATTCAATGGTGTAACGACAATGACTGCATTAAAACGTCTTGGAAGAACCCATTAAATATTTTGAGTAACGGTTAGGCACTTCAGACATATTACGTGCTCTCCCTTTTTTTCTTCATTTGTGACACTATTTTTGTGTCACATGTTAGTCACAGACTAGTCCATTTTTTTGCATGTGCGCGTGACATTTTGCATGACATACCCACATTTCTTAGAGCCTCGCTTTCATGCCACCCCTGCAGACCCCCTATACTACTAACCCTAATCCATTTTGAACCCGCTTGAGTTGTTGTTTTTTCTTTTTTTTTACTAGTTGCGTTTTTTCCAATGTTTTCCTTAGTGCGAGTGAACAAGGGAAAGAGTGAACGAGCGAGCAAACAAACCGAGTAGAACAAAAATCCAACCTTTCCTGCTTTGTTGCAGTTTGAATCCCTTCCCAACTGTCAGTGTCATTTTTCGCTCACTAGTTTCTTTGAAGCACACGAGTGTTTTGGTGTCCCTTCGGCTTTCAAAATGCTTTCTAAACAGTGCGTTTCTTCCTTTCCCTTCTTTGCTCGATCACTTGAATGATCTGATGTCACAGAAGTAGAGTTGATATCACAAACTGTTCGTCGCATGTGCTAGGGAAGATTGGCTTGGAGCTATCACCTCTAGCTCACCAATCTCTTGGCAATGGTGCTGTTTTTTTCCCTCTGTTTATATTGTTTCCTCACTTGCCGATGGGACTCAATTTGAAATTGTGTAATGTCGGAAGCTGTGCAACAGGATAAGGCAAAAGAAAGAGAACAACAACAGCAACAAGAACCAAAACAACAGCTACAAGAACAACGACCACAATAACAACAACAGGAGCAACAGCAAGAAAAGAAAACCTTAGGACTGTAATAAGGAGCTTGACTTCCAGAGATAAAAAGCAATAACATTGTAAGCCTACAACACGGAGTACTCCCAGGTGGTCACCCAGCCAAGTACTAATCCCACCCAACAAGGTTTAACTTCGGTGTTTGGAGGAGAACCTGTTTTTTTTTTTGAAGGCTCAGAGAGCTGTTTATTTACAATTAAGAATATTTTCAGATTTTTTTTTTTACATTGGTAATAATGGTATTGTTGTTAAATTCTTACCTACCTATATCGCGGTTAACTACTCTTTTAGGAGGTGAAAACTATTATGGTGCTGAATTTGTCTGGCTTTGTACAGTTGGTTTGTTGTTGTCGTAGGTATCATTGTTATTGTTACTATTGCTATTATTATTATTACTATTATTATTATCATTGTGTAATACTAACCTTCGCCTTATGATTGAATTTGCTTTCATCGCACTTCACCAATGCTGGGCCGCCAAAGGGGATGAACGGGTTGTCGGTGATGTCCTTGGAACACACACCCTCCAAACGTCTGAATATAGTGCATACCAGATTTCTGTTCATGGTCATCATTCTCGATGTTCGTGTTCGTGATTCATCGATGGACCAAAAATAGAGTGTCATCATCATTTCCCCAGAGGAATTTTGGGGAATTCAGCGAAAAAGCTATTGGCCCTTAAACTTCGCTTTTTCTTGCATGTCCTGCATCTCCTTAAGTTAAAAAAAGAATAGATAACGGAAGTGTAAATTATTAATTACTTTTATAATTTAAAACCTTCGTTTTGCCTTTTCTTACGAGCCTGTACTGAAACAGTATTTTTTTTCTGAAACGATTCAGACTTAAGCGCGCACGAAAGCCTTTAGAGGACGCAGAAAGGGAAATATTTGCGTAAGTTAATTTTTTCAAAGTTCACACGAACTCGCGTGTCTCGCGCCTCCTCCAAAGCGAGGAATGTTATCAACTTTTAGTGAAAATTTAACTCCTAGGCAGTCCAACCCCATTTGTAATTCTTGTGATATTTTTTATGCTACTCCATCAGTTTAAATTTTGCCCCAGTAATGCAGAATTTGAAGTAATCTTCGACCATGTACTAAATCAACTCTCAAAAACATACATAAGGTAAAATTAAGCGTTTTTCTGAACTCCGAGCAGTGTAATAAGGCGAACTTTGAAGGTAACACTTATCGGCCTTCCTTTATAGCGTAACTAAAGCTCCAAATATGACCTTCCAAAAGAGAAATCGTGAATAAAATATATGGTACACATATAATATACTTATTGCAGCAACTAACCATTGATAACCGTCGATGTGGCCATCGGTTCTCCCAACCATAACCATGTCCTCGTGACAAGCGCCGCAGTGAAGAGGATTCGCTAGAAGCGAACGATTCTGCAGCCACCGTATCATTCTTGATACAGGGTACTGCCTTAGAGTAGTAAAATAACTCAAGTCCATAGCACTATATGAAGTTTCCGACAAGAAAACAAACGTAATGTAGTCTGATCCGAAAAGAGAGCAATGACCAAGAAAATGAGCTCAGTGAACCGCCCTTTAGGTTATTACGAATTAGACCCGAAATTTCCCTGGACTATTGTTTCTGGAAAATGTGCGACCAAATTAGTGTTGTATCGGAAGTTGCGGTTTTCTTTCATTTCAGCCGTGAGAAGCTTTAATTAATTTTTTGTGGCGATTATCGGAGTGTTTAGCGAACACCTCATGCTACCGAGAGTTACCAAACCTATGCTGAATTACTTATGCACATTGAATGTGCAGACAGCTAATTTCCTATTTTTTTTTTCCCGGTGCAAAGCTCGCCATGTATGATTCTTTCTTTCCCTCTCTCTTTCTCTTTTCTTGAATGTGATGGTGAATTTAAGAGTAAGCGAGTGAATGAATGATGGACATTGTTTCGTGACTAGCCTCTAGAAGGTTTTGATCAGTCTATAGGCATTTCTTAATTTGCGCTGCAACCGCAAATTTGCTTCCTGACGTTTCCTTAAGGCGTGCTATACGTGAATTTTAGTGAAAAGTTAAGAAGTTTAGAAGAAGGGGCTGATAAGAAAAAAAAAATGGTTTAAACGCCACCAGAAAGATGACTCCACCGAAAGCGCAGCTCAGGTTTGACTACCAGCAGTCCCTCCTTTTAGGCGAAGTCCGTAGCGCGAGTCCAAAAAAAAATTATGAAAAAAAATTGCTGTTAGCGCGCCACTGAAACCCTCGGAGTAACACCGATGCGTCGTAGGAGTTCTATAAGAGAGGCGGTCCAAAATGTGGCTAGTTGCTCCAAGAGTTCCCCGCAGCGCTACCATCAATATTTTTTTTCACCGATTTTCTTTTTTGACTTACGCGACGGACTTCGCCGAAAAGGAGGGACTGCTCGTAGTCTAACCCCAGGTAAGTAGGGACTGTTTTCCAAATTCCAATTTTTAAAAACTATATCAAATCATCAGCATTTCTTATTTACCTCAATTTTACTTATCCTTTGAAAAAAATATCTCTATCTATATCTAAAAATACCCAAAAATCCTCAGAACATAGATCAGTGAAATGAGCGGACATTTTTTTTTTGTTTGAAGCGAGCTAAATATTTGCGCTAAGCTCATGTTAAGCGGCGTTACATTAAAGCGACCTTCGAGTGTAACCCTTTACCAACCAGCGCGACATTCCAGTTTTACCTACACGAAACGATTGTAACAAAAGGCAGCAAAATTAGTGGTGCGTTGGCCACCCTGTAAGTTGAATTGAACACGTGACGAAAGAAACAGCATCTTCGTAAATAAGTTAGTGAAAAGAAACTTTACTGAAGAAAATTTACAATGTATTCTATGTATGTTTGTAGATAGCTATAATTAGTTTTATAATTAAATCTTGCTCTTTTTCAATCGGGCCCAAGTCTTCCTTTGCCCCAATGATTTGATACTCCATAAGGGTTTCACATTCGGTATCAAAGACTCTCATTACTCCGTCCTCGTTTAACAAAACAAATCTGATAGAAAAGGGTAGATTAATTAGTGTTTAGAATTTGATAGAATGATGCTGTTTTAAATATCGCAAATAATCAGTCGATAAATGTGAAAAGTTATAAATGAAGGTTTGGATTAACGATTTAAATTAAAAGATGTCTATACTGCTATTGCTAAGTTCTACATTCATGAATGACAAGTTGATTTACCATACTACCATTTCACTTAGTAACAGTCAGGGTGGGAGTGCCTTTTGACTTTCATACCTTGTTTGAACTGTGATTGGCGAAGAGCCAAACACTGCATTTAGAAACAGCCTATTTTGGCCAGAGGTCCTCTTCCACAGGCACCGAAATGTGTGACTTTCAAACCCAAACAGTGGACTTGAAATATCCTTTGGAATTCGGATTGACGACTTCGGCACTGTCCACCGGTAGCACTTTCGCTTAGAAAACTCCCTTTTCACGGCAACTTGAGACTGCAAATAATAATAATAACAATATTTAGAAAAACAACGATAATAATAATATTATTATTATTATTATTATTATTATTGAAAGTAAGAAACAAAAGTAAATAAAAACGAAAACATCGAAATTCTAACTGAATGAAAAGTATCAACTGTTATACTTGAAAACGAGTCTCCTAAATGAGATCAACAAACCTTGTCATAAATCGCGCACTGAAGACTTTCAACTTGACTCTTAAGTAGCGCCTGGTGGCTTCCTTGATAAAGTTCGTTGTGGGCATTTTCCATCCCTAACTGGTAGAAATTGTTACAACCGGCCACGCTGCATTTCATCATTCTTTTAGGACATTCGTCCAAATGAAGGTGAACATGGGACCTGAAATAGACACACATGGATCTTACGTTATCGGGCTTCTTTGGGAATTTTATTACTATTACCGGGTTAACCCTTTAAGAGGCCAAAAGAAATTTTAACAAGTTTTACCTTAACTGCGCTTTACTACTGGGGCAAAACCGGGTGTTGGTCCTTTTGATTAATTTTTTTTCCATGCTCTTTTCTTTAACAAAATGATGACAAAATTTTGTGAATCAATTCATGGCGATAACTGAATGATAACTGACCTGGGCAAATTATGGCCACAATTTAATGGACATGGTCCGGGCTTTTCTTGACAGGTTGGTTCATGCTGATCTAGTATATACCTCTCCACCTCAGCAGTGCAGTACTTGCAAGGTACTTTCTCTTGAGGGCAGATCTCCAAGTGACGCTCAAGTGAATCTCGCAAATGCGATCCAGGACAGCCATTGGGGCATTCCAGAAGGAGGAATGAGCAGGTCTCTTGATGTCTCTCCTTAGAACCATGCTCACCGACCCACGAGCAGCCAACGTTTGTGCATTTCACATTCAATTTGGAAATGACTGAACTGAGGGGTATGCTGATGTTCAACATGTGTTCGTTGATTGGCTCCCGACATACTGCACACGCCTTTTCCCGTCCACCTCCGGATTGATTTGAAATAAGCTGATGTATACATTCTTGGCATCCACTGTGTCCGCACAATAAGGACACGGGTCTGTTCATCAGCTCCTTGCTAAAAAATAGAACGCGATTCCATCAACAAAAAATACGTGAACTCATTTTACAGCTTTCGATCCACATAAAGATTTATAAACACACAACTGGCACCAGATCCCGTCAAGGGTGGCACCTAGCGTATGCCCCGCAACGGGGACCTACGCATAAATGCAAAAAACCTAAACATGAGCGCAAGCGTTGGCTACCGTAATCAGCCGAATCGCGTCTTTTGATAACCGACTAGCACTAACCCAATATGAAAGCAGCACAAAAATCAAAAGAACACAAGATGTTTGCTGGATACTTCATGAATTTAACAAAAGATGATCAAAATTCTCCCTAAAAGTAATGGTAAATCTGCCTTGAGCAACCAGACCCGCGACTAAAATTACCAGAGTAAAAATTCAAAGATATGGTTAGACTAGAAAGAACACCGGGCTAAGTGTTTCATGATGGACAGAGAAGTGTTTGTTTTTATGTAAGTGACACTTTTACGAGCCAAGGAAATGAATTTTTCCTCCTTTATGGCACAATTTAGATCGGCGCATCTTGGGTTAGTGCGTCTTTTAACTTAACCCGGACTAAAGGTGAAAGCTTTCGGAAAAGGAATCGGTAGTGAGCGCCAGGGAAAAAAAACAAACTGATCAATTTTAATCGTAAATGAGCTACGAATCATTGCCAAGTTAACAAGCCAAAAGAGAATGTGAACTGTCAATTGTTCAAACTCTTATTAAGGTTTGAATAGGAATTCTTATGCACTTCCGCTAAATACTTTGCACCGCACGCATTGAACCAAGTCGCTAGAGTTTTGAGGTCAGGACGCAGTTGCCATAAATTTCCCTTGTTTTGGGGCTTCTTCTTAGCGATTGATCTGTATTCTCTTTTTTGCCGAACTTGGAGTTAAACTGACTCTTCCCTTGTCGTCAGCTTTTCTTTTTTCTTTCGCAATGAAGCTCGACAGGTCTGCAGAAGGAAAAGTTCCCAATTCTCCCTAGCACGCACAAGCAAAGCCTCGACGTCCAGTGACAACTCACATGGGAAAACTTTCTCGTACGGAACCTTAACGAGAATTGAATGATCTCACAAGGGACGGTTGCTGAGAGTTAGGGCTACTTTTGACTAGCGCAGAGGCACAAAGAAGAACAAACGCTTATTTCTCTTATGTTCTTACGATTTCCGAAAGGCAAGCATAGCATAAGCACAAGAAGAACATTTTTAGCTCTTGTTATTGTCCTTATGTCGGCTTATGCTTATGTCACGGCGATCACTAAAGAGAACTACATTGGCGAATTAAGTGATGGTAGGTTGCTGCTGTTCTCACTAAAGTTTAACTCGTTCATGGAACTCGGGGTAACAATTCAGCCTCGTATGGCCCGGTAGATTAAAGGGCAAATAAACTAAAAAAACTTATGACCTAGACAAGTTTTGAAAGACAATACGTTAACTAATCAATAAAAGTAAACCTTACCATATTGGGCAAATTAAATGGTCGTCTGTGTTAGCATCGGGTAAAAGCTCGCAGTTGAAGTGGCTCAATCCAGACATATTAGCAAATACCACAGAAAAGGAGAGTAACTTTCAACGATAAAATATCCGTTCACTTCACTTTACCCACTTTAACTCTACAGAACACACAGGGAAATAGGTCTTTAGAGAATTGGGCAATCAATGCTTAAGTTAAAAAGGCACTTTCGTTACACAATGCTAAATCAATCAATTGAAAACGACTTGTGTTTAATATAGCCTAATCCTCAAAGGAACTGAGAACATGGGTCTGCAAACACAACAAGCATTAATGAAGGTTTTAATTAATCAAAAATGCTCTTTTCAAAAATAAATATCACAAAAGGGAAAAGTCTAAAGACTCGAGGGAAAAGAACTCGATTCTGCAAACACCACAGGTAACAATAGCGAAGGCTTTATCAATTAAAAAAATTGTCTTAAAAAATAATTATCACAAAAGGCACTTTAGCGGCTCGTTGCTAAAAAAAGGATTCTGCTTGAGCCCAAAGACTCGAGGGAAAAGGGCATGAGTCTGCAAACACAATAGGTAATGATAACTAAAGCTTTATTTATTGAAAAGTAATTTTTTTCAAAAACAAATATTACAAAAGGCTCTTGGGCGGCACGCTGCAAAAAAAAAAAAAACAAAAAAAAACCAGACAACTAAAAGAGGCCGCAAACCCTTACGATTGCAAGTCACGAGCAAACGTGAGGATTATACAAATAAAACTGCCTTTCAATGTAGTGAATCTGCGCGGAGACCAGACGCGCACAATTTTTTCCTTCGGAATGGAGGGACACGTGATCATCATAATCTTTTCAATTTTTCCAAAAACGTATTTCAAAGCCTCCGTTGTAGAGAATCCATCTCGAAAGAATGGGCTCTTCTTTTTTCTAAGGGGTGGATAAAAAATGGTCTTTTGTGCATTCCCGACATGGTGTGAATTTCTCGGATCAAAATGGTACTTGAAAGTCGTGCCTTAACGAGATTTGTTTGTTTTTTCTTAAAGACCATCGCGGGGAAAGGAAACAAAAGTTAGACGACATACAGAAAACTAGAATGCAACGATATTAGCTTAACAGTTTATATCATCAATCGGTATTTTTTCACAGTTTAATTGAATCAATTTGAGTACCTATGGCTGGAGCCTCGCCGAATTACGAGAAACTAAAGCCTAAAGACTCGAGGGAAAAGAACATAAGTCTGCAAACACAATAGGTAACAATAACAAAGGCTTTATTTATTAAAAATCACTGTAAATCACTGTCTTCACTTCTTGGCACTTTGGCGGCACGTTGCTGAATCAATGAACTGGAAAAGCCCAAAGACTCAAGGGAAAAGAACACAAGTCTGCAAACACAATAGGTAATAATAACTAAAGCTTTATTTATTAAAACATACTGTTTTCGAAAGCAAACATTACAAAAGGCTCTATTGGCGCGCTGCAAAATCAAAATATTGAGAATACAAATAAAAAAAGTTTTTGCCAAAATAAATGTTTCGTGTCAGTTGTTTGATCCTTCTTTCATTTAAACTGCGAACATAACTAAATAAATCATAAAACATAAATCATACTGATAAAAATAGATGAATGTAGGTCACTTTGATGATGATCGATGTAGGGATGAAAAATGCGAACGAAAACTAAATCACACATAAACTGTGACAGAAAAATAACCAGGACTAAGTAAGCCGATGGAACTTAATAAATACCAAAGTTGAGCTTTCTGGAGTCAGCATAATTAACTTGAAAAACATCTTAAGAAAATCTGCATTTCATATCCATAATTTATCGTTCGAAAAGGAGGCTATGAATAAGGAAAGCGAGTTTGCTTATTATTAGATAATATAAATATTTATTATATTGTACCAAAGTTTCTAAGGCAACATGCAATTTTATTTTGTCAATGTGCTTTATTTCATGGAGACGATGCTTTATTTATTTTTGATCAATTGTATATTTCAATATAATAGGGTAAATTGTTTTATTTGCTATGTTATATTTTATTGGTTAATTGTAGGTCCGCGTCAGCCTCATTAGCTGCTAATTTTCTTAATGTGATTTCTTTTGCCGCTTTTTCTTCGAAGAAGTGGGAGTACCCAAATTCCACCAAAACTAACGCTATTTTATGCTCTGTGGTCTGTTAAAGCTAGACCCTGACTTTTTTTTTCTTTTTAGTCTGTGCTACAAATGACACGCTCTATCCACGATAAAAACTTTCAATTTTTTTACGGTGTTGTAAATGGATTTCTATGATTGCTAGACTTAGGGCTTCACGGGTTAGTTAAGTTCTTAAAATAATATAAATTCCAGTTTGTAGATATATAATATGAAATAAACTGTGATAATGATTATTGAAGGAAGGAAAGATGAACGAAAACTGAATCACTCAAATATACCTAAACTGTGAAAAAAAAGCGCGTGTTATAAATGACCGCCCAGAAACCCAGATTCGCTGCCAGGCCAATTTTTCGTTCCTCTATTTTTCTTTTCGCTTTTTCTTAAACGAAGAGGGAATGCTTACAGTCTACTAAAGGCAGACTATACCTTTTTTTAAATGTGCCGAAAATAACCTGTTGCGCCCACGATAAAAACTCTCATTAATCCTGGTGTTTTTACACTTTTCTTTTTTGTCATTTTCTCGTTATTTTTCTTGTTTTTATTTATTTATTTATTGCTGCTTGGTGCATACTGTCCATCACACAATGTTAGGGATTCTAAGTTTGCCATTACAAAAGCATATGGGTTTAAATTATTAATTTTTTAATTTGCAGTATTCTTTTTCTCTTTCCTTCTTTCTTCCCTCCATTCTTCCTTTCTTTCTTTCTTTCTTCCTTCCCTCCTTCCTTCTTTCCTTCCTTTCTTCCTTTCTTTAATCGAGGCTCGTTTCTTCACTCGAGGCTTGTTTTTAAGAAAGAAAGAAAGAAAGAAATACATAATAATGATATACACTCCCCGTGTGAAGGACTTTGTCCTCTCTCTTGAACGTTTTCTTGTTGTTGTTGGGTTTTTTTTTTAGGAAAATTCTAATTTTAAAGAAACTGTTCACCTTGAGACTTATGGGTGTTAAGCTCACTGAAGATTAACCACACATACCATGTAATTAAAGGAACACTTTAGTTCCTTAACTGTTTATCAGACTGAATTTAAGACTCTCATCCTCTCCGCTTCTATGGGTCGTACTACATTTTCCTTTGCTCTGCATTGACCGATGTTAAGCCTAGTACAAGTACCTAAAACAATTGAATACAGTAAATAATATAAGCTTAACCGCTTTGTACCTGCGATGTACACTCCATTTTCGGCGGGTAAAACTTTTGGAAACCAAGAAACGAAAATTATCCTCTGTGCTTTCTCGCATTCCATCTATTCATCTCCCATTCACAACTTGTTGGCGGTTTCTTTTGGCATGAAATCACAGAAGCGCCTAATGCGGCTTTCCTACCTTCTGTTTTGTTCAATCGCTGAGCAATCAATGCGACTGCAATCATTTGCTCAGTGGATTCTACCCATACCGATACAACCCTTCCGGGACCCTGGGCCCTCTCGAATAAGTAAATTACGTTTGCCGCCTAGTGCATTCCTTCCTTCCTTTCTCTCTATTTTTTCTCCCTACTTACCTCTCCTCCGTTCTTTTTTCTTTTTTTTTTTTCTCGATACGAGCCTCGATTAAAGAAACGAGGCTCGATTGAAAAATGGAGGCTCGATTGGAAAATGGAGGCTCGATTGGAAAATGGAGGCTCGATTGGAAAATGGAGGCTCGATTGGAAAATGGAGGCTCGATTGGAAAATGGAGGCTCGATTGGAAAATCGAAGCTCGATTGCGTAATCGAGCCTCGTTTGTCGCAGAGTGGCAAAACGAGGTATCGTGGTCGTTTTAGATCGAGAGTTTTTGGACTGGTTTACCAGAAACCTTGAATGATCCCAAGGAATTGTGTAGCAGCTTGAGGGGACAATTAAGAAACAGTTTCAAAAGATTGAGAGTTAACTTTTAATTAACAACTGCTCTACATCTGTTGAATGTGATACAGCACAACAACAATAATTTATATTTTTCTTTGATCAAAATTTATAAACATGCATGATTACTTAGTGAGTAATCATAACCACTAAATACTTAATGAATAACAAACATTAACATAATTAAACAACAAACTAGTTTAAAAACTTGCATTAATTTTTTCACCCTTTGACTCCTAGAAGTGATTAACCCTTTAACTCCCAGATTGAATTTTTAATTCTCCTTTCTATCAACCATACAATTCTTATGATGTTAGGTCAGAGAATTTAGTATTGATCAACTAATTAACCCAAAATTGATATTCTTCTTTGGTCTCTTCACTTATCTGGTTGATATTGTATTAATATTGTAGGGAGAAATTCTGTCTGGGTCACTCGTGGCAGTTAAAAGGTTAACAAGAGACTTCTTCCCATAAAATCCTTATGTTATCCAACAAATAGGTAACAAGAATACTCAAATTTATAAGCATGTATGATTACTTACTGAGTAATCATAACCACTAAATACTTAATGAATAACAAACATTCACATAATTAAATTACAAACTAGTTTAACCCTTTAACTCCCAAGATCTGATTGTTAATTCTCCCCTGTAGCTGCTACACATTTCCTTGTGAATTAGTTATGAGAACTTGGTGCTAGATCAAGATAGCAGCTTCTACCTGATAAGTTTGAATATTCTCTTTACCTGTTTGCTGGAGAATGTATGGATATTGTAGGTAGAAGTTTTATGTGAATCGCCACCGGGAGTTAAAGGGTTAAAAACTTGCATTAATTTTTTTCACCCTTTAACTTCTATAAGTGATTAACAAGTAACTTCTCCCCATAACATCCTTACATTATCCAACATCTGACTACTTCTTCAACTTCTTCCTTTGGCAGCCAGTTCTTTTTTCCCTTTTTTTCTTTTTCCCTTTGGCATTGATTTCCTTTATTTCTTCTTTTTCTACCTTTTCTCCTTCCTCACCTTCCATGCTGGCATCTTCTCTTCTACATTCTCCATCTTTATCTACTCTTGCGTCTTTTTTCTCTTCGCTCTTTTGCTTCTTCTTTTCCCTTTTCTCTTTCCTTTCCTTTTTTCTTCTTTTTTCCATTCTTCTTTCCTTTTTATAATGGTCTTGGTGGTCTTCATCTGTCAGTAAAAGTGATGATGGTTTAATCCCTTTAACAATCAACATCAGGCATTGGTAATGGATTTTACCACCACTTCATTATTGAGGTGATGCAATAAAGAGCATTTTAAGTCTTCTAAGATAATAATTTTGTTCACAAGTTTTGCTAGAAAACCTACCATAAACCTCATAAAGACAATTCTTACCCTCGACGGTCGTTTGCAGGATTTCCTGTTTGCCTAGTGGCACATTTCCCTTGAAGCAAACCTGTAAAGAAATGAAGGGAAGGGAAGTATGCTGCACAAAATGGATAACATGGTGATGAATAATTCAGCTTATAAGCAAATTCATCTGTACAGCATACCTCCCTCAAACATTTCCACTATAGTAGATACCATTTGCATTTTCTTGCATGTTAATGTTAATGTTATTGTTAGTTTTTATAACAGTGTTACGCAAGTCAATGCCAATGTGTCATCTTCCATAGGGAACGGTGTATCAAAATTACTCTAGGGAAATTCCCTGCCACTCAAAACAAACATACTTAATAAATCCCTTTCTTCTTAAATTTTCATACCTACCATGCAGCTCATTCAAGTATCTCTGGGAGCACTTAATAATAATTGCGTTGAAGGAATTAATGAAATTCAATATCTAAAAGAGAATTTCCCTGTGAGCCTTTTCCCTGTCAAAGGGGAAAAGTCTGGGCAAACTCTCTGATTGTCTTGTCTCTACAAGAGCCTATTCATTCACCAGAAGGAGGAACATTCTTGCCAATCTTATCAGGTGTTGTGGCTCCTAAAGAGCCTCTTCCCTGGTCAGGAGTGAAACAGTCTTTGTCAGTCTCCCCCAAGTGTTGTGGCACTAAGGCCTCGTCCCTGTTTAGGAGAAGAATGGTCTTGTCAGTCTCCCCCAGGTGTTGCGGCACTAAGGCCTTATCCCTGGTCAAGAGAACAGTCTTGTCCATCTCCCCCAAGTGTCGCGGCACTAAGGCCTCGTCCCTGGTCAGGAGAACAGTCTTGTCAGTCTCCCCCAAGTGTCGCGGCACTAAGGCCTCGTCTCTGGTCAGGAGAACAGTCTTGTCCATCTCCCCCAAGTGTCGCGGCACTAGGGCCTTGTCCCTGGTCAGGAGAAGAACGGTCTTGTCAGTCTCCCCCAAGTGTCGTGGCACTAAGGCCTCGTCCCTGGTCAGGAGAAGAACGGTCTTGTCAGTCTCCCCCAAGTGTCGCGGTACTAAGGCCTCGTCCCTGGTCAGGAGAACAGTATTGTCCATTTCCCCCAAGTGTCGCGGCACTAAGGCCTCGTCCCTGGTCAGGAGAACAGTCTTGTTCATCTCCCCCAAGTGTCGCGGCACTGAGGCCTTGTCCCTGGTCAGGAGAACAGTATTGTCCATCTCCCCCAAGTTTCGCGGCACTGAGGCCTCGTCCCTGGTCAGGAGAACAGTCTTGTCAGTCTCCCCCAAGTATCGCGGCACTGAGGCCTCGTCCCTGGTCAGGAGAAGAACAGTCCAGTCAATCCAGTAGTGGTCTTGTCAGTCTCCTTCAACTGTCATGGCACTAAGACCTCGTCCCTGGTCAGGAGAAGAACAGTCCAGTCAGTCTCCCCCAAGTGTCGCGGCACTAAGGCCTCATCCCTGGTCAGGAGAACAGTATTGTCCATCTCCCCCAAGTGTCGCGGCACTAAGGCCTCGTCCCTAGTCAGGAGAACAGTCTTGTCCATCTCCCCCAAGTGTCGTGGCACTGAGGTCTCGTCCCTGGTCAGGAGAAGAACGGTCTTGTCCATCTCCCCGAAGTGTCGGGGCACTAAGGCCTCGTCCCTGGTCAGGAGAACAGTCTTGTCAGTCTCCCCCAAGTGTCGCGGCACTAAGGCCTCGTCTCTGGTCAGGAGAACAGTCTTGTCCATCTCCCCCAAGTGTCGCGGCACTAGGGCCTTGTCTCTGGTCAGGAGAAGAACGGTCTTGTCAGTCTCCTCCAAGTGTCACGGCACTAAGGCCTTGTCCCTGGTCAGGAGAAGAACGGTCTTGTCAGTCTCCCCCAAGTGTCACGGCACTAAGGCCTTGTCCCTCTCCCCCAAGTGTCGTGGCAGTAAGGCATTATCCCTGGTCAGGAAGCATGCCTTGTCAGTCTCCCTTGAGTGTGTTGTGGTTTAGGAGAGAAACAACAGTCATTTGTCAAGTGTAAGGTTTTGTTTGTCTGCCTAAGTTGTTGGATTTGCAAGATTTCCCTTTCCAGGAGAAAACGACAAATCAATTTTAATTGTGAGGATGTATTTAAATGCAGTCAGGTAATGTTTATCTTGTTCCATCATGTAATCAATAATAAATTACAAACTAAGCCCTTGATTGAGAACACAGTGTAAAACCAAAAAATGTTCCCTACCTGGTCATCTAGGAGAGCCTTGGCTTCCTCTGGATCCTAAATAGATTTGTGAAGATGTAATTGATATGTTACTGCTGAAATTATTGTTTCGTCCATTAAACCATCTAGCAAAACACCATTTGAAGTATAGGCACTAATAGAATATCGTATACTGTAATTGAAATTGCGGAGAATATATATTATTCCTGAGTAAAACGTTTGTTTCTTCAGATTGCTCATGCCCAAATTTTCTTCTTTTCTCGTGAAGTTGCAAAGCATCTCGAAGTTGTCGAGCCATGTTACAAAATGTGTGGAATACATAAATTAAGATATGCGTTGTACCGTACACATGACCAAGAAGATGAAAGATAACTAGTTTAAGCTTTTCACAGCTAGAATAACAGTAGTGGCTATTACTGGGGTTTTGTCGTGTCTTTACGGACGCTAACGGCCTTTGAAACGTTTGATAAATAGCGTCGTGACGATTCTGTACCGTGGAAGAGGTGTAAGATCGCCTAGCACCAATCAAGAATTTCGGAATTTTTTACTCTGATAAAGCGAAAAAGACAAGGTACGTTGTTTTAACTGAAGTAAAAGTAAACAACTTAATTAAATTAACGGGTTTATTTGTTTTTCTTAAAGGTTTTGGCGGCTGCAATGATATTTTATTGTCTTACGATGTTATTTCAGTAACAAAGAGGGGAAAATTTGAACCCGACTGGGACTCTTGTTGTGTAAGAAAAAAATCAGTATAATAGATACAACTTTATGTACCTACCCTCTCGCAGATATCTAGCACCTCCTTGTCCAGAAGGAGATCTTGGTGTTTAACCACGTGCTTTTGTCTCTGTAGGGTAAAATTTAGGGGCACATTCCGTTGTGACCCTGCCCAGTCATACACCTCCTGTTAAGAGAGAAATTTCTTTCAAAAATGTCCTTAATGCGAATTGTAACTAGGAAAAATACAAAATAGCATGCAGTGGGCGGGTGCTCCTTTCATTTGGAAAGTGGGTTGCCTTTTAAACTAGAATTAGGGGTCTGGAGCAGCCTTTTTCTTGTCATGTATTGAGGGGACTACAAATATTCAGTTAAACTGTAAATCAATATAATTCAGTTTTGTTTCCTCTGATCAGGAAATATTTATCAATGAAAAGAGATTAATATTTCTAAGTAAGTGACCATGTACATATATGAAATATCCAAATATCTTGAATAAAATGTATTGTTATAAATCCTTAGAAGAGAGAGATGGAAACATTGTGTTTATCAATCCAATAATTGATCTTAAATGTATTCATATTAACCACTCATACACAAGTTACTGTAAATACCTGGAAAAGAGCAGTTGCTTTGAATTTGCGTTTCAGTCGGGTACTGCAACACCGTAGGATTATTGTAATGCCCTCTTTGTCCTCAGGCAGTACCCGCTGGCCCCTTACCTCTCTTAACTATGAAATTAAAAGGGAAAAACATTTCTTCTGTTTTGTTCTGCTAAACTTCCTTGACTTCATTCCAAGTAGAGGGAAGGGGGAATTAAAACACCAAAGAGGTCTGTTGGCCAGAAAATAACTGCAGCAATTATCCAGTGATTTTGAGAGGTTACCTTTACAAGCATTGCTGGAGCTATCTATGGAGTCGTTATTTTGATTCCAATATTCTCTATTCATAGTGATGTAGACTTTTTACCTAATGTTATTGAAAGATTTTTTCTTTCTTTTATCTCCTGGTTAGTCTTGTAGTATGTAGACAATATTGGAAATTATTGTTTTCAAAAAATAAAAGTTTTGCTCCTACTCATCACCAGACACCAGCATGACATTAAATATTTGATGAACACTCCAGGACATACTTCTCTATGTTCATTGGCCTGGTTTTTCTGTTGACATAAACTTATACTTTTATCATTCATCAATGTCAAAACTTTATGAATTGGCTTTAATTGAACGCAACATATTGTAGGGATATGTAAGAGACATTTTGGAGATATGTAATATTATACTATTCACCTTCATATCCATCTTAGTGGTTTGATCCTCCTTTTTATTGCTGATAGAAAAATATAGAACAATTTGCCTCAGTTAGGTACACTTTGAAACCTGGACTGTAAAAGTGGTGCATGTAGCATGTTTTTTCTGAAAGTAAGTTAGGTGCTACAAGCAACTTTTGGTGTTGGCAAGGAAGGTAATCTCAACTACTGCAAAAGATGTTTCCTTTTTTTCCTTGCCAGTATCTTGTGCATCATTTTCATTCTTGTGTCAAGTGCATATTGCATTTTCATTGTGATTGCATGATTGGCAGGGTAAGTGCTGTACTGTGTATGTTTGAAAAGTGCAGTTTACAGAAAATGGTAAATAATGTATGTTGAAGTTTACTCTAAAATATGAAAACCTACCTGAAAAACGTTCGACCAGGACTGGCCTGGCAGAGGTTGGTGCCAGGAAAAAAATCTGACTCTTGTGGCTATTTAGGCCAAACTTTGATATCACTGAAAAAAGAAAGATTTTTACTAAACTCTCTATGATAAAATAGTAGTATCCATCTGCAATTGATGTAAACTACTTGAACAATAAATAACTTGAGAGAAAAATGTTTTAATCAGCTTTGAATGGTAAATCTTTGAGTGAAGTTGTTTGTGATAATATATTAAAACATAGTATACTCGCCACAATGAACAACACCAACTCTTTTTACAGTATATCATTATTGCTCTACTTTATTGCATTTACCATAGTATCCAATTTTAAAATGTTTTAACGATGACAACTTTCTAGTAAAACACAATATAGTTATGTGCAGCTGAGTGCTGCAGAGGGCATCCATTATCTGTAGGGTCTGTAATTACTGAATGGAACCTTTTTTACCTGTCATACTTTTATCATGTTTGTGTGTAAATATATAGACAATGATCAGATAAAAGCTGACTAAACGGAGAATTTTTCTGGCTTTCTTCTTGAATCGCTATACTGCTTAATTCTCTTCAGTGTACACCATCTATACCAAGAATCAGCTTTGAGATAATTGATTTACCTCTTCTCCCACTTGCACTCTCCATACATGCCATCCAGTAGTACAGATCAACTGATAATGTTTGGAGCATGCTACAAATTCTGCAGACAGTTAAAAATAGAAACAAAACTGATTACTTTTAGGACTTTGTTGACAAATGGGAATTATCCTCACTTTGATAACCTGAGTATGCAATTTGATATAAGTTGGAAAATTGTAAATCATGTGCATACTCTAATTGTTGGAATGTTGTGTCATGTCATGTTTAGTAACATAATGCTATGATTTCTGGAAATGGCTGATATGACCTTTCTCTGTTTCTGACCAGGAATCCCTTAACCTTTAGTGGAATTTCTGGTACTAGGCAATGAAATTTGAACTTCAAGGTAATGATGTCTTAATAACTACACTGTAGCTGTACAGGCACAAGATCCTAATTTTATAACAACAAACAGCAAGCAGTTAACCTTCGCACAGGATCAAAATTATTCCCCTGTTTTATGATAATTAGTGTAAACATTTTAAAATCTCTCTCTGCCTGGTAGCAAATCTGCAAAAAAGCTAGCAAGAGAAGCGTTTAATTGAGGAAGATTTGATTTTTTCAGAGAAATCTACTTTTCCAGTTCTTTAACAGAATTGAAATGTGTTTGGAAGGAGAGTTTGATTTGAAATTTCTTTGTAAAGATAGTGGTCCTTGTTGCAAATGCTATTAAGAATGCAGAGGAAGGGGTTGGGGCTGGACAATTTATTTTTGGGTATTCTTTGGGGTGTTTTGATTGGATAAGAGCTTAATGGAAACCCGTTGAAAGCCAAATCACTAAAATTTAAGTCTTATTTCTTCTTTTCCCTCCCTCAGTGTAAGGGAAATTGAAGCATTACTTAGAGCTTTGATTAGTTTCACTCAAATACCTGGTATGCTTAGGGTAGGGAGCCCCTATAACCACATTATTTGCAACTCTAACATGCACACTAGGTTTTGTAATTATGGTGTAGCACTTTCCTGTAGCCACATGCAAAGGAAGTGGACAAAAATGTACATGTATGGAACCTTCCACACATATCTTTCATTTTTCGCATCTGTTTAGCACACTAGTTAGACACAGACTTCCATGAGTAGTGGAGCTATAATATTCAAGACAAGCCTCATCAAAGGTGAGATTTAAGACAGGTAGGGACTCCAGCACAGCATAGTTTTGGCAAAGTTCCCTCTCGCATAGAAGTACTTCCTCCACCCTGTCCAGTCTCCCTAATGCTACTAGGGAAGCAAACAACCAACACAACTGAATTTGTTAAGTGGTACACATAAAAGAAAGACATTAAGCTTCAGTGGTCTTAAATTCCTTTATGAATACTTTGACCCAACTCTACAACTACAATGTGCAAAGAAAGTTATGTATAATAGCCCAGGAACAGTGGATTTTCTGATTAGGCTAGTGAATTCTTACTCTCACTTGCCCAATGGATAGGCAGATTTTTTCAAGATTCGTTCAAATCACACAATTTTGAGGCAGTAAAAATCACTCGAGGGCTAGTACATGCTAGTCATGGCGTGCCCTTCAGGGAAAGCAGTAAAGCCCACTCTCTTTACAATCTGAACTACCTGAAAAAGAATGAAGCCTGGCAAACTATTGTAAAACCTGTGTTGAAGCATGCATCCTGTGTATCCAATCTACCTTTTCAATTAACAGTACCTTTTCCGAGGTTTTGACAAACAGCTCCCACTGGGCTTAAGTCCTCTTGAAGACACCAACTACATTTAAATGTTTTCCCATTAGAACATTGAATTTGACCATTATTAATGTATTGTACTGTAAATGATTGTCACCATAAAGCCAGTGCAGCAATCAATTATAGTAAAGATGATATACCAATAAAATTAATAGCTAATAGTTTTTGTAATAAAAAGTTAAGTCACCTACCTGGATTTGGAAGCCACAGGAAAATTTTCTTTTTCCTTGATCCTCCGAATAATTCCAGTAGCTTCACACCATCCTGGAGGCCAGTTGCAACCTTTGACATGGCATACCCTCTACAGTATGATGCGAATAACTCTAACCTAGAGTAAGGAAATATTAGGTATTAGTATCACCAATCATAAAAATTCATTATATTTTAATTTTGAATAGATTTCCCTCGTTTTACTGGAAATTTTCTTAAACATGGCACTTGCAGAAATTACAGAGAAAGGTAAAGACACTAGAACATACTGTAATCAAAGGGGCCAATATTCTTTAAAGACCAGTGTGAAAGTTACATTTTATCTGGAAGGGTAACAAATGAGGGGATAAATTTGCTTTTTTTCCTCCTGGAAAAGTTTGGTTTTCACTCTTCCAACCTCTTCATCAAAGTTTATGATAACAGTATTAAAAAGCAAGTTAAGAATGACTGGTTATTTTCATTGAGTATGCAAGCATTGAAATAGCTGAGTAAGCGCGTCTCCTATTTAGCAGAGTACATCCGGCGTTCAAGGTATCACAGAAGGGAAATTAGCGCATGGGCGGAAATAGCATACAAATTAATGACTTGGGTTACTTAATTTACTTTTAAAATTTTGATCATTAAGCAGAAAGGGAGCTTTTAAACGCCTGAACTGTTGACAAGATTAGTTTATTTAACGTTCGTTTTTCATTGGGAAAGTGGTCAACACATTGAACTCAAAAAGAGTTTCTGTCAATTGTGCGTTGACGCTCTGAACTAGAGCTTCTGAGCAAAGTGTTAGAGAACCTTTTTTGGGGGGACATTATCTCCAAATTTCATGAAATACATTGAAAGTTAGCCAAAAATGAAATCTTTAGAGTTTAAATCTCAAGCCAAAAGTGATTATGCGAGAAAAAGCGATGTCTCATCAATCCCGCACATGCCTTCTACTCTCAAATTATTTTTTGCTTTGTCAACCGAAGTTAATGAGGCACCAAATTATAACTTTCAGAGGTTGACAGATTTTTAGCTTTTCTGTTTTTTAAACAACCAAATGAAATTTGCGAGAAAACAAAAAGATTTATAAACTTGGTCGAAATGACATTTTGGGACTAAATTTGTTGTGAGTTCACCAACGCATCGATTCACTGCGATACACTGCGAAAGCGTACAAGGCACCCGCTGGGCTGAGCGGTGGACGGCATCCTTTCAACGTTTTCACATTGGAACTTTCAGACAAAATGGTAAAGCATTCTCCAGAGTTAAAAAGTATTTGCGGGGCTAGTAGCGTTGAATGCCTGGGTGTAAGTGTAGTTTTTAACTTCCCGCCCTGTGTTGCTCTCTGGTTTGTGCGCCAGCAACGTGAAAAATATTCAGTCTAAGCTCATTTGAACAGTAGAACTAGAGGGTTCATTAGAAATTAGATGGACAAGTAGAGTCCAATTCCACTTGAACAATTTAAATCAACTGAATTCAATTTTTTGTCGTATGGGAAATGTAGGACAATTATCAGTATCATCAACTT